CACGACAGTGAACCAGGTCAGTGAGACACTTTTGGTCGAAATATTTACGTATTCACCCTCGACTATGATCAGGGGGACTTTTCGTTTTGGGGAAAACCGAAATGATGTAATGTTGGTATTCGGAAGTTGCATTGACGCTGCCTTCTACTGTGTACAGTGGACGAATTGCAAGCTGTGTAGCCATATAACACGCAAATGGTATGCACCATTCACGTGTGGACCATCTATCCCACCGAGAATTGGACGTTTTGTAATGAAAATAGTTAGATTGCTATTATCTCATCACACATTTCTGATATTCGTGTTCGATAAAATTTGAAAATATGCTTGCTTTTGTATGATACTAGGATGGTTATTTGGTAAATGACAAAGGAATGATAACCACTTTTACGAGGACCGTTTTTACTTAGCTATGTATTAGAATATATTAGAATACGTGCTCACTAGTTTACCATAGAGTTACAATATATGCGTATTCGAGTGCAAACATAACGATATTGGGATCCAGTTGACGGATTGGAACAACATAAATCTGCTTGTTTCAGATGTATGGAGTTGATGAGAATCTAATGTGCAAACGTTCCACATGTATTCAAATGATGTTCGTTCAGGCTAGGTACCAACTTCTCCAGTAGGATTGAAGAGACACGACCAATGATGGTCAGTCCACGTAAAAGCAGTTTACAACCTTCCTTAAGGAAATCGTAGACGACAACAGGTGAAAAATAAAATAAAATGGGGAAAATACACTGGTACACAAATTTGGAAATAATCGATTATTGAACACGAAACTGATGAGATTTATGGACGGGAAAAGAAAGTTATCAAAGCTATATGTTGGTTGTGAGAGGTCCAATGAAGATAAGCATCCATAAAAAAATCCAAGTATTTAATACAGTTTACCCGGGATGCTGGTTTAGATCCAATCGAGACGGGTTCAGAAAAGAAGAACATAATCATGTAAACAGGTATTCAAAAGACTTGAGGGGATTAACAGATAGGTCGGATGTGTCAGAACATTTTTGAAGGTCCTCCAAGTTGTCAGGAAACTTTGAAAGAACGGAAAATTTGTAGATAGTCACATCGTCGGCGCCAGAAGATAAGTCACTAATAAATGTAAGAACTAAGTATGGAAATGGACTGCACCCTGGAGTACCTCGGACCTGTTCACCAACGGTTTGGACTTCTTACCACCTAACCTGGTACATTGAGTTCTCTCGGAGAAGTAATCGACAAGCCAAGCTAATTACTGTCTAGGATAACCAAAGATATCCAGTTTACGAAGAAGAAGTGAAGGAGGAATAGAATACAGGCAGACCTCATATCTATTACTACCTATAATTCTGTTCTCCTTAGTGGTCCAACAGTTTTCCATCGGTCGCATGAATTGTTTGCTTTAATTCCTAATTCACTAATCATGCGAACGCGATTCCAATCATTTTTATTCAGGCACGGAAAGTCCATCCGGAAGTGCATATAATCACCACACCGGAGATGCAGGTCAGTTTTGCTTTGTTGAGCCAAAGGTAAACTTTTTTTCTCCTGCTCCACTGCCACTGAATACAACCAGAGCGGTGAAGTTATAAGACGCCACGATGCAACGTACAGTTCGCTGCATGTCACCGACACATTTCAAACCGCGGTGACTATCAAATGAGCTGCGTGAATCCGTAAAATGCTAACCGAGTGGAAAATTCGCCAGTGAACCGGTACACTAATCCATGAGGTGAACAAACCGGAAGTGAAGGAGAGCGGGCATGTGGAAGAACAGGTGTGGCATGTGAATAGACTAGCCTTTCGACTATGAGGACAGTATTGCGTTAGTTGAGAAAGTGATTGTTTAAAATGAATCATCGTTCAACAGTTTCAAAAACAGATGACAACATATTGCATGTTTTTACCACATGAACTGATCACTAGTAATGAAGGGAAAACGGATAGTCAAAATAAAGAAAAAATCAAAAAAAATCAAAAATCAAATCAAATCAACTCTTTAGGGAAGAATTATTTACCCTGTTTGAAATAAATTGAAAATCGAACAGTAAACCAGCTGAAAAAAAACGCCTGAGATGGATGAAGTTTAGGGTTGTTTCTCAGAGAGGAAACAACGCAGTATCCGGTACCACAGGTGGTCATAGCAAGCGGAGAATGATCA